AAGCTCTCCGTTTTTTTTTTTTTTTTTTTTTTTGTGACAGACCTCGAAAAACACAGAACATGAAGCGACTAAACGACCGAATTATACACGAGTCTGGTTAACTTCCTATCCTATGTCTAATATTTCGTAGAGTTGGACTTACTTTTCCATATGTGTGAATTATGATTGTGAATTTTATATGAAAATACACAAGGAGTCGTGGTCATTACCCGCACGGAGTCGGCCCGATAAGGGCTTGGAATTACAAATTTAAAATCCATTCGAATATCGGGCCAGACCAACTCGACACAAAAACTACGGGTCAAAATATGGGTTCGCGTTAGGCTTACCCGATTATATTTTAATTTTATTAGATAAGTATATATACACATATATATATACACAGACTCATTTATTTATATATATTAATTTTTTTTTTTTTTTGGTAAAATATATATATTAATTATTGATTACGTGTTTCTAAATTATTTAAAATTTTAATGAAAAATAGAAAAAATATAATATCGAAAATGATAAAGAATTTTAAAAATTGTTTAATATTTGTAAAGTGTGGTCTTTATCAAAACCCGCTGGGAGACTCGAAGGCTTTCGGAGTCTCGGAACGAAGCAGAAGGTTTGAGGATGGAGGGACATTTTGGTAATTTTATAAGAGTATGAATATAAACCCTAGGGTACTTTCTCTTTTGGTTCAGACCGTTCTTTTGCGTTTTTCGGCTTTTCTTTCTTGCGGTAGTGATCTTTCGTCCTCCATGTGTCCAATACCGATCTAGATCGGATCTCCGGCGATTTCTTCTGTGTTGTATCTAGCAAATAGTGGTTCCCTCTTTCCGAGAAGTTTAGCTGGGTTAGGACAAGTGTTGACCAAATTTTGGTCAACAGTTGACCGGGTTAGGTCAAACCAGACCGATTCAGGTCAATTAGACAAGTTTAGTCCGATTTTAGGTCAATTAGACTAGTTCAAGTCAATCTAAGTCCAGTTCGGATCAACCCAGACCGGTTTTGACCAATTTAGGTCAAATTTTTGTTCAATTCTGACCAGTTTTAGATCAATTGAGTCCGGTTTAGAGCAACTCAGATCGGTTCAAGTTGCTTTAGGTCTGATTAAGGGTCTGGTTTGTCAAATTAGGGCTAGAATTATCAAGGTTAAGGTCTGTATTGTTTCAATTAGGGTCTAGATTGTCCAGTTTAGGGTTGAGTTTAGCTAATTAGGATTAGATTTGTCTGAGCTTAGGTCTGATTATTTCGATTAAGTTAAATAGGTCTGGTTTAGGACTGTTTAGACTGGTTTAGGGTAGGTTCAGAATCTGTATAGATTGGTTTATCCTTGTCTAGTTCGATTTAGCACCTAATTGGCTAGATTAGAGTAGAATTACTCAGTCGAGACCTATTCAATTCTTGTTTCAGCTAGTATGAGTCATATATCTTGGTAGTAATGCTCTACGATGATCCGTGATATGACATTTTGACATTGTATTGGCTCATTTGGTTTATGAATACATTACTTTTCCTTTATATAATTCGCATGATCGTTATATATTTGTATCCTTGAGTCATTGCATGATGATTCTAAACTCTCTGGTCAATTGTCATTGTGGGAACAATGATGAATTAAGACCAGCACAATGTGTGATTATGAATCACAATCATGGGTGCTCGTTGGGAACGAGTGACTGGATGATCTACATGAGATTGTCACATGGGGAGTCATGATTTGAATCTCATATAGCAGTTCGTTCTTAGATCCTCAGACCTGAGATGTCTAGAGTATCTGATATGAGGAGTGACAAGTCTTGACTGCTTAAACATCGTGTTTAACTAGATAATTATAACGACGTTGCTAAAATACGTTCACAAATTATATAGGGATAGTAGACATGCAATACGAGACTTGTCACCTCTTTAACGGGAGAGATATCGTTGGGCCCCTCGTGGAAGCTGAACTGTGAAACGTGTGGCCACGCTAGATGAAGTTACATCTATTTTATCAGTCAATTTGCCAAGACGAGAAAACGGTTGAACTTGAAGGGTGACTCAAACCATGCCCTTATTCAACATATGATATCGTGAGACAAAGGATCAGAACTCGAGCCATTATTGTCTCGGTTAAATCACCTTTAACTTTATTCAAAGTGAGTGGCCATGGTGTCTTGCTAGAGATTGGCCATGACTTGTGGTTCGGGAAAGGTTTCCGAAACCACTACCACTGCGAATGGGAGTACAAAGTCATACACAATTAGGGATGCACTACATGTGAAGAGAGAAGTGCGAGAAAGGATAGCGGGACGACGGAACTGGCATCGGAAGCTGGAAATGTTCTTGACAACTAGATCGACCGGTCCAAGACACAGACCGGTCGGTCCATCTTTCGAGCAACTTTTCTTTTTCGCGATTTTAGGGTTTTGACAACTCTATTAAACATGGGAGTCGTCCCAAACCAAACCCTAGATCGATTGAATTAGTGTATTCTTCTGAAATACGAAATGGTGTAGAAACTCGGTCGAATTAGTGTAATTCGGTAAAATGGTGAATAATGATTATGGATATTGTCGGTGAATAGTAACCGTGGATAGTGTCAGTGAATAGTAATCGTGAATGGCGTTGGTAAATAGTAACTATGAATAGTAACCGAGCAAAAATCCCACATCGAAAATTCTACACATTTTCAAGGGTTTTGAACTCTATATAAGGGGAGTTTGACCCAAGACTTCAACACACCAAGTCCTAAGTCTTATAGGGGATTTAGAGAGCTTTATAAGAAGTCTAATAAGACCACAAGCTCTCGGGAACCTCTCCGGACTAGCGAAAATTTTTTAGGCCTTAGCAGGCCAGATCTAATTGTTGGATCCAACCCACGGTGCAGATACCGTAGAGGGCGTTGTCTTTTGTGACGTCTTCTAATGGTGCACTGACGTCGCCATCCGGTCCGATCTCGCCGTTTAAGGTTAGTATCTCTCTTTGAGTTTAGTGTTTTTCTGTTCTAGAATTAATAAATTATGAATTTATTTTTTCGTTGTACATAGATTCTAGAACTAGGTTACCGTCAGATTGGAAACCGTGGCATTAAGCCTGGGAAAACCCAACAACAACCTCTCAATTCAGTCACTTTTGGACAGAAAGAGAGTATAAGAGAAAGAGATAGGGGGAAGAGAGTAATCAACGCGTGTGGAGCTTGGAGACACATAGGGGGACATATCTAGAGGTGCACTGTAACTTCTCACGACGTGTGGGACCAAGAACCACCACACAAAATCTCGGCCAAAACAGTTCCGAATTGAAACATTGTGAGTGGCTTGAGTTGACTTTGCGGTTGTGGAGGCTAGTAGCATTGTACGGTGTTGATCAGTATGCCGGTGGAAGGCCGAATACCGTGATATGCGTGATTATAGTGACGTGTGAGGTGCATCTAGTCATGCGATGTGAGTAGAATTTTTACGGCTATTCCTATGATGCGAGATCATACGAGCATGATTGTGATTGATGTGTTGTGAACATGTATGTTATTTTGATTTTATATTATCATAGACATGATTATGATTATGTATAAAAAAATTTGGTTGGCACCGTTCTCAGTGAGAACGATAATACTGAGTTTAACCCGGGTCACTCATTAAACGGTTATGCTTAACCTTCGTGGTTTTATCTTTTCCAGATCACGAGGAGCACATCAGTACACTTTGGACGACGACGACGACTTCGAAGAGACAACATCACGTACGGAGTTTTCCTTCTTTGTACGTTTTGAACTATGGAATACGGTTTCTACGTTTGCACGACTGTACTATTTTTAATTCGGACATGTGTTGTTTGAGGCTTAACTATTGTTTAATTTCCGCTGCGTGTTTGAATATTGAAATGGTTTTGAAATTCCCGTATTTTGGGTTTTGGGGTATTATTTATTTGGTTTTAGTCCATGTGGTGCATCTTGTTCACGGAAATCGGGATACGGGTGTTTAACTCGATGACCGAACTCGTATATTTTCGTATCTCCTTTCTTTTTTGTTCTTGCAACAAAAACGAGCGTGATTTTAGAGTAATCGGTGAGGTTTTGGGGTTCACAACATGACAATATTGGATAATCTAAGAGATAATATGTTAATGGGTAATATATATTCAAAATTACGATGTCTTTAATTTATTTTATAAAAAAAAAGTAGGTCAACCAATGACCCAATCAAAATCTCTATGCCTCTAATTATAGTAATTCTTTACTAATAGATATACATATATTGAACCATGTTCTCTCGGAAATGCATATGTTTTATATTCTCCGAGTTATAAATCGATAAATAAAATGTATAGTTTGCGTAATTTCAAGTTTTTTTTTTGTCAAAGGTTGTGTCATTTCTATTAACAAGAGCTCTTGTTCTTTACAACATAGAAGTCCGATAACAACAACGGATTACACATTTTCCAAAGGAGGGCGAACATGCCATAAGGCCAAATAACGTAAACTAGCACATGTATTGAGACCAACACCACCTCTAAACTGTGTATACTTTGGGGAAATTACCCATTCGAAAACCAAACCCAGAGAAGAGAGCTAGCAAGTTCCGGACTCGACAAACGGATAACTGCCATCTGGGTTCGGAAAGCATTATTGATGCCCCTTAGTAATAATGTAGCGTCTTTGAATCTTTGGTTATGTATCTTGGAATTTCTCTCGGTCCAAATACCGTAGATTAAAATCTGTTACACGACACAAGTTGCCCAATGAATCCTTCTGCAATCCCATTTACCAAGTGACCAAACCTGGATGTCATCCCATCTAGACCGAGGTAAAGATAAACCCAGGTTCCTCATAGATCCTCGGGTGCACGATACTCAAAGAAGATATAGTATCCAACGAAGTTGCTTTGATCTAATTATGGAGCTGCTCACAAAGAAAAGGAGTTCCATAAATCTGCGTTTGGTTTGTCAATTTTTTTTTTTTTAAAAAAGGAAAAGATTTCCAGCCTGTAAATTTGTATTTTATTTTCAGAATTTTTTATGTAAAATATTTTAATTAAGATTGAGATATCCAAACGCAGATTAGCGTTTTGACCCTTTTGCGAGAACGCAAAGGCGGCCTGCCATTCCGTACGGATGTCATTAAGATGATAATACTATACTTTGTGAAAGTGGAACTATCACACGTTTTGATTTATTCTAATGTTCAATTTTTTTTTTGTACTTCAATTCTTAATTGGTTCCTCTAATTTATTTATTTTCATCATTTCCTCAATGTGGAGCCGTTTCCCCGAGGGGCGTTTCTCCATGAGTCGACAGCGAAGCACTTCTTCTGATATCTCTCTCTTTCTCTCTCTCTCGCGTCACATTTGTTGCGTTGTGTACCGAGAAACCAATCTCTTTGTTCCCTTTTCAATTTCGTGTCCGCTGAGTCACATTTCACTATCTCCTCCTCCTCCACGCCCCCAAAAAAAAAAAAAAAAAAATCGTTCCTTTTCGCCAAATTTTCACGCTTTTTCGCCTCCTTATAGTTGCTGCAGAGTCCTTCGTCACATTTGCAGTTATCCATCTTTCCCCCCTTTGTGTTTCTGTCTCTGTGCTTTTCCACTGGAGTGCTTTCTTTTCCATGAACGTGATTTTTTTTATTTATTTATGAGATTTTCCTCCGTTGGTCTCTGCTTTACTGACTCTTCCATTGACGCCCATGAGTCCTCTTTCACTGTAGATCAGTTTCATCTTGAGTTCATTTTTCTTGGGCTGTCGCTATATTTTCCAATTTTTCGCTCACTTCCTCATTGGACGAGGTTTGGGGGTTCCCCCCCTTGTGTTTTTTTTTAGCTAATGGGTTTTCGTTAGTGCTGCAAGTTTCTGTGCTCAGTAAGAGTTTGACTTCAATTTTGTATATTGAGCATGTAGATTCCAGAGCCATGTAATTGAATCGCTTTAATCATTGGATATTCGGTGACAATTATGGGTTTGTCTCCTTAATCTTTTTTTTTTTTTTCTTTTTGGCTATGGATTGGTTCGTGAGAAGAATCCCCTTTCCCAACTTTGGTTAGGCTTATATTAGTGATTACATTGACCTCTCGTGTAGCATTTCATTCGCCTCAGTGTTTTGAGGCCTTAAAAAAGGGGAAATAGGCACTGGATTACTTGTCCCTCAAGAAAGAAAAGCTGTGACTGCGATGGAAGAAACATTTGTTCCTTTACGTGGAATTAGAAACGATCTCAAAGGTAGGCTCAAGTGTTATAAGAAAGACTGGACAGGCGGCCTTCATGCTGGCATCAGGTTTGGTTTTTTGCTGTCCTCGGGTGATTTTTCATTTCATTAAATGTGTATTGTTTCCATAATTTCGGACGTCTCAGGATCCTGGCACCAACAACATACATATTCTTTGCTTCAGCAATGCCCGTCATCTCATTCGGGGAACAACTTGAGAGAAGCACAGGTATAAACATTTGCTTGCAAATATTGTGTCTGATGTTAAAGTAGGAAAATGAATATGTGATTGGAGGAAAATCTAAATTTTGGAGGAACACAATATTATGTTAAATATTGTGAATCATATTTATTTCCGTTATATCTATATTTCCTTTTATTTCAGTTGTTAATTTTCCTATAAATATGTGAGTTATTTTCATTGTAATGGAACAAGAAGGAAGAAGAGATGTAGCAATAAAAGTAATTTCGTTCCTTTCTATTTGTCTTATTTTATTTCCGCATTTTATTTTTCTACATCTGATTCCTCGAATGACTAAGAAGATTTCAACGTGTTTCCTTTTCCATTTGCATGGTAGAGGGAGCTTTGACCGCCGTGCAAACTCTGGCGTCTACGTCACTCTGCGGAATCGTTCACTCTGTCATGGGAGGACAACCTCTGCTTATCCTTGGCGTGGCTGAACCAACTGTGTTGATGTACACATTCATGTTCGACTTTGCAAAGGACCGAGAGGATTTGGGGAAGAAGCTTTTCTTGGCCTGGACAGGATGGTAATTCCACAGAGATGTAGATTGTTATCTTCCTTCTTTCCCTTTTTCTGCTCTGACTTGGTTGGGTTCTCAGGGTTTGTGTTTGGACCGCGTTCTTGCTTTTCTTGCTGGCGGTTCTCGGGGCATGCTCCATTATCAATCGGTTCACTCGTCTTGCAGGGGAAATGTTTGGTCTGCTAATTGCCATGCTTTTCATGCAGCAAGCCATCCGTGTGAGTTGGATTTATGCTCTGATAATGATTGAAGCTGTGTGTTATTTTAGACTACTTCTGTTTTTTTTTACATGGATTTGATCTGGATGTAAACTTTCCATGCTGAAGTAGGAATTAATCCTTGTAGGGAGTCGTTGAGGAGTTCGGCGTACCCCAGAGAGAAAACCCAGATGAAACAGCGATGCAACCTTCTTGGAGATTCAGCAATGGAATGTTTGCATTGGTTCTCTCTTTTGGCCTGCTTTTGACAGCGCTGAGAAGCCGTAAAGCGAGATCATGGCGCTATGGAACAGGTTGTCTGCAATATCCGTGATTGATATCATATGTTCAAACAGCATAGCCAATATCTGTGTTCTTTCCTTCTCCTAAAGGAATAAAAACATAGCGCCGTTTCTCTATATGTTGTTAATTAACAGACTGTTGTTGTTTGTAGATTGGATTCGGGGATTAGCTGCAGATTATGGGGTACCACTAATGGTACTTGTGTGGACTGCTGTTTCATATATAACTGTCAATGAAGTGCCAAGAGGGATTCCAAGGCGTCTTTTCAGTCCAGATCCATGGACGCCTGGAGCTTACTCAAACTGGACTGTCATCAAAGTGAGTCTCATCATTTTTCACTGATTCCACAAAAAGAAACAACGGCGTTTGGATTGAACGAAACAGAATGAAGAGATTCACGCTAATCACGAAGGTGCTATGTATAATTTGCAGGACATGGTGGAAGTGCCTCCTCTGTACATAGTTGGTGCATTGATCCCGGCGACAATGATTGCTGTGCTCTATTACTTTGATCACAGTGTTGCCTCTCAACTAGCCCAGCAAAAAGAATTCAATCTTAGGAAACCGTCTTCTTATCATTACGATCTTCTCCTTTTGGGTTTTCTGGTAGGTTGTTAAGCTCCCTGATGACAGTCTGTTCGTTGGTTTAGTTCATCATGAGCAGCTGAGTTCGATTCTCGTCCTTCAAAGGCACAGTTTTCCTCTCTTGCCAGGTTATACTCTGTGGACTTATTGGTATTCCACCTTCCAATGGGGTGATTCCACAATCTCCGATGCATACAAAAAGCTTGGCGACATTGAAACATCAGGTTATCTTCTCTGGCTGTTGGTTATGTTTGCTTTCTCTATATATGTTCCGTAATCAATCAGACTCCTTGTAGGAAAAATCTTTAGATATTTGACAAATACCAAACCAACCCTCAGCTTGTATGTCATGTTCCCTTGCTATTTAATAAAAAGGGCATGTATCTTGCCTCATTTTTCTAACAGGAACTGCATTCTGTATTTCATTTGCTTGTGGCAGCTTCTACGGAATAAGCTAGTATCAACTGCCCGGGCAAGTATCCGGAGGAATGCAAGCCTATCTCAGCTGTACCGAAATCTGCAGGAAGCATACAACGAGATGCAGACTCCACTCGTCTTTCAGATGCCTCCAAGTCTGGTAAACAGATTTTGCTGTTTTCTTATGAGCAAAGAACTACTATCACTTAAGGTCGCTTCTTCTCGATGTATATGAATGGTGACCAAGTCAGGTAGTCTTACATAAGATAGATTAAGGTATGAAGCATAATCAAGTCCAAACTAATCGTGAATATAAGACGAAACATATGTTGAATTGGTTTTCTAAAAAGCGGAAAACAAGGACATATTTACCAATGATTACGCTGGAGGATCAGGGAGGTTAAAGAGTCTCTGTATTGTGGTTCTTGAAAAAAGAAAGCAAAGAACAGATTCTGTTTTTGCTGACACTGATACAAACTTTCAAACGATGCTCAAACTCCTCTCCGTAACTTTGACAGACTCTCAGCCTTGCTTTCAACAAAGAACTAGAGTTGTTTGTGCTTTGAACAAAGAAAAATTCTCTGAGAACATACGCATATATTCCACATTTGAAATCATACATATGTTCTTTCATAAATTAACAAAACTGGAAATAACTGCTTACATAGAAGTTAAAATAAAAGCACAACTGCAACATAAAGAAAAAAACATAACTTCTTCTGCATCAAACTTCAGCTCCTCCAACAGTCTTGAACCAGAACTTCTAACAGACGCCTGTTCTGTTTTGTCTCTTTGGTGTTAAACATTTTATCTCCAATAGGGATTGAAGGAGCTGAAAGAATCCACGATCCAGCTAGCATCAAGAGGTGGCTATGTAGATGCTCCAGTCGACGAGACTGTTTTTGATGTTGACAAGGACGTGGATGATCTTTTACCCGTTGAAGTAAAAGAACAGCGTCTTAGCAATCTGCTTCAGGCACTCATGGTTGGTGGTTGCCTAGCAGCTATGCCAGTTCTCAAAAAGATCCCCACTTCTGTTCTTTGGGGCTATTTTGCTTTCATGGCCATTGAAAGCTTGCCTGGCAACCAGTTCTGGGAGAGGATATTATTTCTTTTCACCTCTCCAGGCCGAAGATACAAGTAAGTATTGCATGTTTCCCTTTAATAATCACGGGCTTTACTGCTTTTCATCAGCAATCCAGGGTTCTTGGATTTGCTTTTACGTCGATTGTTTGAGCCTTTTGGTTCTAGTAATCTGAAGAATCAATTGAACTAGCCTCTATAGGTTGGGTTATATGCCAGATACCGGATGTCAGCATAATAAATTGAAGGGTGTACTGCATTTTTTTTATTTCTAAAATCACCTTGGACTGAGTTATAATTCTGGGCTATTAGGGTGCTTGACGAGTGCCATGCAACCTTCCTTGAGACGGTGCCTTTCAAGACCATCGCTATCTTTACGTTGTTTCAGACAACCTACTTGCTTCTGTGCTTCGGCTTGACGTGGATACCAGTTGCCGGTGTCCTCTTCCCTTTGTTAATTATGCTTCTTGTCCCAGTCCGACAGTACATCCTGCCAAAATTCTTCAAAGGAGCTCATCTTACAGACTTGGATGCTGCTGAATACGAAGAGGCACCTGCTGTTTCCTACAACTTGCAATTTGAAGTAAGTGGTTATAAACCTTTCAATCTTTTCATTCGGAAAATTTGAACTTCACTCTGGTAGAATGCAAAAAGGGGTTGACACAAAAGTTGGAACCTGTTTTAGCTAAAGAAAAGGAGAGTTTCCTTCATGTTCATGAAATACTTTGAATATCTCTCTCGTAGCATATGTTGCTGCTTTGTTGTTCTAAAGATCTTCATGCATATCAACTCCAGCCTCGGCCGAGCAGGTCGTTTCTGTCATTTTAATCCGATTCAGCTTAATCATTAGGCCATACAGCCTTTCCCAACTCTAAACGCATTCTCCCTGAGCGATATTTTAATGTTTTGGCATAATAGCAACCAATGGACATATTGTACATCCATGAACAGGGCCAGGACACACGAGGGAGAAATACAAACATAGAAAGCGGAGAAGTTCTGGATGAGATAATCACAAGAAGCCGCGGTGAAATCCGTCACGCACAGAGCCCGAAAATGTCAAGCACGTCTCCGTCTTCACAAGAGGAGATAAGGCCGGTGCGCAGCCCACAGATCGGAGACGTCGCGAAGTAAACAACGCTCAAACTCCACGGGGAAAGAGATTAAAAGAGAAACGAACCCCAAGACAAGGAACTTAAGATCTTATACATCTTCATTCATCATTTCGATGCTCGATAGGTCACCGTCTATTTCTTGGTAAATTTTCTTGTTTTCTGTATGATGCATGTGAACCCCTGGATGGATCATGTCCAACAATTTTCATCTCAGGGAAGATTGTGTATTTTTCCCGAGAAATTCACTCACACATATATATGCAATAACTAAATATTACAGATCTGCTTTTCACAAGATAAATACAAGCATTAAAACTGTCATTTACGGTTACAAAGAAAAATACATGACGGCAACATAATAAATGGGCTAACATAATTTGAAAAAGTTACTTACACACTCAACTGGTTTAGTTCAGTTGCAGCAAGAATTTGGTTCCGGAAGGTTATGTTGACAATGATTGTGGTGGATCAACCGAGGACACGAAGAGCACCTCGGGGTTCTGTTTTACCCTTGGCTCAGCTATTTCAGTCTACCTAAGAAGCAGAGTTCATCGTAGCAACTGAAGTAACGAATCAAGCAATTTGGCTAAAAAAAAAATTCTGAAAGATCTATTGATGGGATACTAGAATCTTTTTTTTTTGGTTAGATCACGAGGTGATACTGAATGACGTTCAACTATGAACCGACACCTTTAAGATTTGCACGTTCAGACTAATCCCGTTCGTTCCTATATCAACGTACTAAACGGTAAAGGACTGACATGAAGAATAACTTCAATCCCAAATGGACCCCTAACCTTAATTAAAGGATAAAGATGATGAACCATCTATGCTAACCTTTCAAGTTGGATACGAGAATCTTTAGACTTATTGTATTATTTTTGTTTTTGATAAAATGTATTGCACTGCTTACCTACCTAGCAATGTGTGATTTAAGCTATTTGGAGGGTGTGTAACTCTAGGATTTATACCCAAGGTTGGGTAGACCGGTGGAAAGGAAAGTAAAATGTGCTACTTCAAATCTCATTTGGGCAAACGATTATCAGAAGAAAAAAAAAACTGTAGGATTCGTGATTCCATCTTCTCGAATGTGAAAACAACATTGCAGCTTCGTTCTTTCCGGTGAACAAATCCAGAACTAGCATCAGAGCTTTTACAAAGACTGGTTTAGATGATTATTTATTGTATTGGTTTTGGTTTATTTGACATTTCCACGACCTATTTTGGTTATTTGTACCCACGTGTCACGAACACATCCAGTAATAGGTATAAAAAAATCTCTAACACAATACCTAAAATACCCTCCTAATTACGTCTACGGGCCTCAGATCAGAGGGTATTTATGTGAATTACAATAAATCACGACTAGACTTGGAAACATTGTTCCTTTTCAGTTGGGGGGGGGGG